ATTTTACGTGGTCCTGCTTCTGAAAAACATTACTACATCGCAACTGATATCGTCTTCTGTTTTCCAACACTGTCCTGCATTCAGAATGACAGTATGAGTCCTAGTGCAAGGCCTGTCAGGCTGGAGGTGTAAATCCTTTCCAATCACAGCCACACACAGTCATCCTTTAGTCATCCATAAGACATCCTCCTCAAAAATGTGGGACATTGATTACTCCCATTAAAGTATTTGTGCTCAAGTAACGGATAATCTCTTAAGGTTAACCTGGTTCTTAGTGTCTACCTCGTTGTCTGGCACTTAGCCTAGATTAGACTACTGTCTCCCTTTAGCCTCATCTGTTTCACATTGAATTATAACATCTTAAGAACTACAGTACATTAATCAATGCCAAAGCGACCGGCACTCTGTAGTGGCTGGGCAACACGTTTTGTGAGATTCTGTAGCATTAACGTGAGGACATCTCGTCAAAGGCGAAACATCCCAGATTTGCACAGAGACCTTGTGAAGGGTTAGATTTATCACCAGATAATTTCAACACACCCTGCAGTCCTGCCATCCATGATATGAACACATATTTTAGTGTTCAGAGTGCTACATGATATGTGCAGGTGATGGGAGGTCGAACATAGCTACTGGGTGTCACCTTTTGTTAATTGTATTAAGTTCTTCGGTTTCAATTATGCATCAGCTTGACCATTTTGGACCATTCATTCTTAGCTTTCCCTCCTGTTTAAAGTGCTGCACCAGTAATAGATGTTTCAGAGGTGTTATGTTTTGTATGAAATCCTGACTAAACTCCTCATCCTAGGAATGTCCGTTCTGAAGGATGTCACATTTGACTGCTCGGGAGCAAAAGCCCATTTATTCTATCACAAGTACATTTTTGTTTTAGGACTTTTCTGTTCATGTCGTTCATGAGTCAGATTCTTCTGCGTGTATGCAGCATGTGAAACAGATTCAACACACAGTGCACTCTCTCAGTAAACTGATCCTTGTGAAAAAAGATTAAAATACTCCCCCTGGAGGCTGGCAAGGAACACTGCAAGCCGTTTCCCGTTAGAATTACACGTCCCAGCACATGATCGATTTTGTCTTTGTTCAAAGGTACAATTTTCGTAACACACCCTTATAGTAAGTAGGAATAGTACCTTCATTAACACCTAAGCTACTGTTCAAATGCAGCTGCATTTGATGTCCTTTAGCTTCGTTTGTATCATTCTGTCTTTCCAGCTACAGTATGATATGGTTCTAGCTTTCCAGACTTTGCCTTATTATTTTTTACGTGCTGGTTTGCTCTCTGTATGTCTTGAAAATATTTTAAATAATCATCCGAACTACAGTATGTGTCTTTGAATCTCAATTGCAGTTCTGAAAAGCCTTTTTGTTTTCATTTACATTGATGCAGCAGAGTTTGTTGGGGGTATTTTTTCTTTTATTTGACCAGTTTCCCCAGCCTGCCCTCTGTCACAGTCCAGTCACAAGTACAACCTGGCGTTCACAAATGAAAGCTAAAGAACTATTAAGCAAGAGATCACGACACTGTTTACAGAACACAGTGCCCTCTCCTGTGCCGTAAAAGGGGCTGTGCTTAGCCTGAGACACCTGAACTGTTTACCAGTTTATACATGACGTATAAATAACCTCTGAATGCCTTTTTCAGCAGCTCAGACAACCCACCAGTGCTTCTGTGACTCACTGTCTGTTTTTTCTGTTTTTCTCTTTTCTGTTTCCTTGTTCACAGAAAAGCCAGAGCTGGTACAACGTAAGTCACTTTTTTTCTTTCTGTTTAGTTGCCTCGATAAGTGGCGTTCTGCCTTGTGTCTGGAGGTCATTTGTTACAGTACGTGTGGCAGCCAAGCAAACCTGATTCTGCTTTTAAGCTGCAGAGCATGTGGTTTTCTCTGTTTGTATATAAGCGTGGGACTCGTTAAGCCAAAGAAAGGTGCCTGTTGTGTTGTGTGCTTGCTGTTCAGTCTGTCAGAGACCTTGACCGTGTGCTGCACAGGTACGGCTTCACAGTGGAAGAGGGAATGTATATCAGCTTAGTGACTGCTGCACATTGTGTTAAAGCGCCAGGAGATTTCAGTCCGGTTGTGGCCTTTCATCTGACAGTCCAGGGACGTCAGGGCCAAGCAATAGACAGGTTTCTCTTCTAGATTTGCTTATGGCTTGGTATTCAACAGGTTAAATCACCTGATCGCCACTCTGTCCACTCGGCTTTTCGAACAGTGAGCAAGTTTAGTGCTTACGCAAAGGCCAGAGCCACTAGAGAGTATCACTGCCAGTCACAAGTCAGCTGATCCAAACGACACCAAAAGACATGGCATCAGTATCCCAAATTTGTATACTTTATTTGTCGCAAAGCACAGGGGGAGTGAGTAATAAGTGTGTTCTGAGGTGCAATTGGAAAATGTGCTTGAAACTTTTTTTTTTTCCAAAACACAATAGCTAAAAGGAAACCTGAGCTGTTTAAGAAATCAAAGAAGTTAATGATATTATTAGTTTAATCACGGGTTAAAGTACTTAACTGAAAGCTCATATGGAGCATATCCAGCAAGAGTGTGGGTTCTGGTACCAGATTTTGGTTCCCCGGGCCCTGGGCCATGCAAGGTAATTTCTGATACATGGTAACAGTACTAATGCCTGCAGCTTGTATTAGATACAGTAACCCCGTTTCTCCTGCTCCCTCGTTAATCCTGGAGCCTTGGGCCTGCCACTGTGTTGGATGGCTCAGGGCACCTCTGTGCACAGCACTCCATACTAGCTGCCTGCAGTGGGTCCTTTCACTGTCATACAGGGGGACCACCGCTGACAAATATACATGCAGGCGAAAGGAACGGTAGGTGTGGTATTAAATCAAGACATTGAGCGACCTGGCCAGTGCAAAGTCTTTCCACAGGGTTGAATTAAGTAGACACTGACAAGCAGCACATCACAGTCGCCCCACATGGTTTTTTTCATTAAGAATTGCTGGATTGATTGGAAAGGGGTTCTTACTGCTGTAACTCCGCTGTGTGCTAAAGGGATACTGAGAGGAGCTAAAAGAGAGTTATTGGTGTACAAATGTATCCAGACTTCAGTTGTAATTGATGTTTTCGGCCAATACAGGAGAAAACATCCGTATGCAGTGAACCTGAGTGGCCGCTAGGGGGAGTGCCGAGCCCTAATCTTTTGAAATGTCCTTCCTCGTTTTCTCTGAGGTTTCTGCCTGAAAACCCATACTGAGCAGGATGGGTCTTGTGCCGTCCGTTATTCTGTCTCTTAATTCCACATCTGTGTCAGCAGGTTGTGGATTATAACATTTTCACAGTCATTTGTGTATGAAAACCAATAGACAGCATGTGGCCAGTACTACTGCCATAAGCTCTAGTTCCATGAGAATAGTTTCCAGCTAGAGGAGACCGTTTGGTAGTTGACAGCTTCTTGATTCAAGGATGTCATCCAGGTGTTTCTTGAAGGATGCCGAGGTATGGGCTTTAATTACATAGCTATATGGCTTGTTCCATTCCATACTCCTACAACCCTTTGCGTAAAGAAACCCCACCCTCCCCAAACACCCACATGCTTTTTTAATTTGAAATGCACTTCCACATAGTTTACACTTTCATACTCATAACATATAGCTCATTAAGGTGTTTGCTTATATATAAATATATAAAAATATAATTTTCACTTACTCTTTACTTTTTTTTCTTTTTACTTTACTTGCTTGTAGTGCGACATCTTATTTACACATTTGCACGTGGGCTAGCTCCCTGTCTCACAGATCTCAGACAGCCATCACGAAGAAATACGGATCTTTCACTTCCTCTCTGAACACAGCAGGGCAGACGATTCTCACTTGTGAAAAACTGCACATCTTTGTGTGCTCACCTTTTAGCCAAAACAAGGACCCACAGCGCAGTGAGTCAGCAGTCCAATACAGTGTGCAGCTCTTTGTGTGGTGTGGCTTGTCCTGCACCTGCAGAAATCAGCATGAGAAAAGAAAACACAGCTTATGTTGTACAGACTGATATGTGCACAAGTGACTTCCACTGATCACCATTGAGAAAAACGCTGATGCATTCCCTCTAGTTGCTGTGTCCCGAGCAGTATGTAACAATAAATATGTACAAAGTGACACCAAGAGATGATTGCTTTTACAGGTGCTACCTAAAAGAATATTTATTTTTAAATGGCAGGAATTAACCCCTGTAAACAATTCTAAATTATGTTGGGTCTTTTAATGTGATCGGAGTGTTATCTTGTGAAGCAATGCCTTTATTTGGTGACTCATAACATTGAACTTTTAAATACTGTGGGCAAGGTCTGTCTTGTGGTGTCGAATGCATTTCAGAATAAGCAGAAATAGAACCAGATTTATGTTCTCATCGAATGTGTTTGTTTTCATCGAATGTGAATTTGTGTTTTTCAAGAAGGGCTCCATGTAGTATGGAATTGCAAGACAAGAGGAATGAAGGTGGATAACTCTGGAGGATAGAAATGCTGATTTTCTTAATCATGCTAAGTAAACCGCACAGGGTGGTTAGATTGATACAGTCTGTATGATTTTGACCCAGAAGGAGGGAGTGTGGATGTGTTTCTTAGCTGACAGTAGCTCAGGGATCTCAAGCCCAGGTTCTTGCACCCAGTTCAGCGCCCTGTGTAAACGATGCCCTTGTGTAGCACTCGCCCCCGCCCTCTTGACTGCAGCCTTCCTGCCTGGTGCCCTGCCAGTCAGAACGCAGTCTTGTGTCGCTGTGTGTAGGCACCGCCGCGTCTCCGGGCTGGAATCTTCCCGGGAGGAGCCCTCGGCCCCGTGCGGGGGCATTGCGTCCAGAAATCTGGAGAATAATGTGTCTGCTTTTGCAGTCGGGCGTCTCGTCTGTTTTTTTTTTTTGGTGGGGGGGGGGTTACTTGCTGTGTTGCTTTCCATTTATTACTTTTTTTTTTATTCTTTTCCCATGTGCTTCGTCTGTGTGTTTCCAGCATGAAAGACAGCACATCATGAGAGTAAGCATGACCCGTACTCTTCACGCCTTCGATTCTCGTGCTTGTCCTCGGGCCTGGTGCCCCTGGGGCTCTCCAACAACACCTTGTTTCCACCTGGCTCCCGCTGCCCACACTGTCACCCACTTCGATCCTAGAATGAACCCGCACGCGCTCATTGGAGCAGTTTTAAATGTTTTGCATTCGACCAAAAAAGTCATCGTCTGCCAAAATAGACGCCATGAATTCATTAGCACGATTTGCCCAAACAGAGCTGCAATAGGAAACCCTGTTATTATTTTTCAACACATCTCACACCAGAAGCAAGGGCTTCACAGTTTTACCAGCAACTGCAACTGAACTTAGCTCTCCCGGTGCGGGAGAATTCGTTTGTTGGGAGGGATTTGATGAGAATGGAGCACGTTTGCGACACTCTTCCTCAAGCAGGTGGCAACAAGGTAACCCCGGCCTTGTTCCCAGTTTTCCTTGCTGTCCTCGAACCCGTGTTATTGCGCCAGGTAGTAGCTGTGAATCGGCACAGTTATGCTCGCCTCCAGATCCCTTCAGACCTGAGCACTGTGTGCTTCATGCTCACACTGCGTTCCGGGAAGCGCTCTGTGTTCTGTGACAGTCTTGTGTCTGTCAGGTATAAGTCTGCTCTGTGCTCAGTCTTCTTGCACCTCTTCTGTAGGACACTTGCAGTGCAGATCGATTTACAGGAAAGGGCTTGTGCCACCTTCTTTAACTGCATCACTGTAAAATGTAAAAATCACAGAATAGAAATGACCAGTGGTGTGTCAGAGGTTCCCACAGGAAAAAGCAACTTTCCAGATTTCCAGGGAAAAATACTGTACAGTTTCAGGAACTCGTTGTCTATGAGCCTCACACTTGCACTAATTGACGTATAAAAATCAATTAAATTGCTCAGCGCTCCCTTCATTTTATTAGCATATTTATAGTTAGGAAATATATGAAAATGAGACCAGAGTTAATTAGAAGAAAATGCAAGAACTGGAAGATTAGATAACAGTGTGATCTTGAAGTGCATTTTTACCCCAGCTTGCAGCTAAAGTAGAAGCAATCTTATGAAGTAAGAATGTCACCTGGATTCTCCTTGTTTACTGTATGTCAGTCTTTCTTCTCAGAGTTTTAAGACACCGATGGCAGTTCTTGTTAAGCATATGTACCGTACTGTACCTGGTGCAGTTTTGTGGCTTTTTATTCATGTATTGCTCTTAGTCTAACACTGTGCACCCTCATTCTGTTGTTCTACACTTGTCAGTGTAGTTTTTATAGTGGCATCGCATTCTTATGTACAACCCAGCTAGATAAAGCACCTTACAGTACAGTCTTGTTGTTTTTAGCCCATGACAAACTCTTACTCCTTTTTTATTCTGTCACTGCACTGCTGTAGGGTGTTGGTGTGAAAAAGGATTTTCCGACTCTGGTCCTGGTCTAGGGCGGGGGGGAATGGGACAGTGTAGCTGCAGGTTTTCAATCCAGCTGGGCTCTTAACGACCTGAGTAATGACCTGGCTTAGTTAGACCAAAAGCAGCAGCCTCACTGGCACTCCAGGAGCACGATTGGAAACCCATGGTGTAAAACTACAGTTTTGCAGCACGGCCCCCCCAGCAGAAAACCGGTGTCCTTCGAGCACATCAGTGTCGAGATGTGCTATTGCACTTTCGAAACTCGTGAGGCTTGTCAGCTGCACGTTCGCTCTCGGCCTGATAAGCCTGTACCAAGTACAAAGGATCCGTTGTTCGAGAGGATTTATAGAAGTCAGAGTCTCGCTGTTACTTTAACATCGGCTACTGTACACCGACTCTGGTGCCCTGGCTCCGGGTCTGGCGCGAGGAGTTCGGTTTGCTTCATGGCGGGCCCGGGGCAGGAATCCCAAGTTTCATTCTTGCAAATTTCGTTATTTCATCCGTGCTAAGGAACCACCTGTTTAATGAAAATTTCCCGAGGAAGCCAGACCGCATGCAGAAGTGGGTGCCCCCATCTGAAAATCTGTAGCAAGTGCACAAAGTATTTTTAAAGCATAGCAATACAGTACAACTCGCTTGCCATGTGTGTTTTATTTCAAAATTTGAGATTAGTGTAAACCTGTTTAAAGAAGCTTTGTGGTATGTCTGAATATTATTCCTCCATTGGCTGGAGAGCTTAATGTGTAAGAAAAACAGGAAAATCACGTTGCTTTTCTGGGCATTCTCTCCAGACAGAATGTAGAATCACCACAGAATGACAGAGGCTGGACAGCGCTTTATCAATGTAACTGCGGCTTGTAGCTTTACAGTAAATAACTGCACATTCTGTACTGTATTTCCTGCCTGTGTAAATAGCTGGGTACGTCCTATGCAGTATTTAAAATACTGCTGCACCTCAGGCAGTCGGAAGCAGTCTGTCCGCACAGAGCAATGATGAACTTCCATGGCAATGATGTCGCCCTGATTAAAACACAACCGTCCAATGAGTTCTGAGCTAGTACCACTCTGCTCCGGCTGCCTGCATCTTTGACAGAGGTTTAAGTGCAGTTTGATTGTCTTTTCTGCTGCTGCTGTCCTTTCAGTTTTCCCTCCTAGTAGTCCCCTTGGATATATTGTGATGAAGGCAGGGTAAATGCAAAAAGGGTTAAAAGGGTTAAAAGACACGAAGAGGTTTGTCTAGAACAATGTCTACAGGAAGGAAAATGCGTGAACAAACTCATGGGAGAACAAGTACCACAAGTGCCCACTGTAAGGACTCTCCTCGGGAGATGAGTTGTTATTTTTTAGGGTTTGTGTCAAAAATGGTATGAATATAGTACAACAATAAATTAGGCTACCTCTGAGCTGAATATGAACAGAACTAGTGCCCTGGAAAATTCTCAGTGTCATAGAAATCACCTACAGTGAAAAAATTGTTTATTTTTGTAGTCCCTTCTTCCTCATATCCCTTGTTTAATTCAGCCATTTGATTTGACGGTCTTATTTCGTAACACTCCATCAAATTATTTTGTTTAAAGGCAACGGGGAGTTGTCTAGATACTGCTGGTCTAGTGTTAACCGGAGTCTGGGAACCGGAGTCTTGCTCTGATGAAATCCAGTGGTGCTGTTCAGGGGCATTGACATGACCTTGACAACTCACTGCGATTTTTTTCCTGAAACGGGCGGAGGCTATAATTCAAAAGCTCTCCAGCAAAAGATGGGTTTTATTGCAAATGTCTTATTTTTTGTAGACCTGATGTTGCAGGTGACAGCATCTCCACCTGCCTTCAAGTGAAATCACCGATTTCCTTTGGTCCTTTTTGTGTTTCTGTGGGAGGCCCATGTTCATTCGAATCGGTCTCCTTGCACATTTGCCTTTCCTTTGAAGTTTAAAAAAAAACATGAAACAGTGTTGGAAATTGTGGCCTGGTATGCCAGCTATCCTATACTATGCCAACACGGTGTTTTTGTTCCATGCTTAGTGTGTAGCTGTGCTCTGTTTCTCCACTTTGAGGACCCGGTGTCAGGAGTGAGAAAGTTTTGTAATAGCGCCGGGAGAGGCTTCGTGCCGTGGAAGCTGTGCTGCTCTCACTTTTTTGGAACGGAAACAGATCTGGGCGAGAGGGGAATGTTTCGCAGAGGCCAGTGAATCACCGCAGTGGCATGAGTCAGGCTGTGCCTGCGTTCCTCCTCCCCACATTCCCGGAGAGAGGTCATTCACCCCTCTGGCAGCGAGAGGGAGGAGGGGGGGGGGTGTTCACTCTGAGCCCTGCTTGCAGGGGAAAGGTCTGTCACACAGGAGCATCCCGAAACACAAGGAGATTCACTTCGGCAGCAGCTGCCATCACCCGTGGCTGCGCACTTAGCGGGGTGTATACCGTATATTGCCTGGGAGTCTGACGATCTCAGCGCAGCGCTTTATTGTAAAACCGAAGGACCCATTTTTAAACAGGGGTGTTTGCTGAGCCTCACAAAGGAAAAGCACGCATTGAGTCGCAGACAAACAGTTCGACCTCAGACGGAGACTTTCGAGAACCAGGAATAAATGCTGATTCTTTTTATTCCGTTCTGTAAAAGCTTCCGAACATGCTGTCCCTCACTCATCGGGTCTCTCTCCGGTCCTCCGTTTGTCCTTGACCACAATAAAATGGTCACGGGGTGGCTGGCTGGCCTGAGTGATGGGCACTCAAGTGATGGGCACTTTCAGCTCCAGGACTAGTGATTGTTCTGGCTCTGCGGCGACGGGCTCCCTTGACTGTGAAATCTGCCGAGCCCTGAAAAGGGAGGTGAAAGTTATAGGAACGGTGTTTGTTGTTTAAATGTACAGTACCTCGCAGACAAGGTACACATTTCTGTTCTCCCGTGTGCCACTGTACGTCTCTTTTCATTTCAGGTTAGGGAGAAGTGAGAAGGGCTTGGCTGACTAAAAGCGTACAAGCGTGTAACTCATTTCAGGGGCTTTATTGACGCATAGATGTGCAGTGAAGTAAGCGCACTGCCTTGCAGGCCGCCTATCGGGTGGGCAGGGTGGGAGAGGCATCTGCGCTTTGTCGGGTCTCACAGCCGATCCCTTCGGCCAAGAGCTCCGCTCTGCTGAGCGCTCGTCTCGCCCATCTGCTTCTCATTTAGCAGCGCAGCCCTGGAGCCGTGCCTGGAGGTGGGTGCGGGAGGTGCGTTTCTGAGTGAAACTAGAGCCCCCCCCCCCCACCGCCCTGTTTCTCCACCCAACCCAGTTTCCCTCCCTCCCTCCCTCCCTCCCACCCACGGAGCGCAGTGAAACTCCTCGGGAGCTGCTTTCTAAGGAGCTCTCGGCTGTCGGCGAGGCAGCGGTCGGGTGTGTTCTAGGAGCTTGCTGGCACCTGCAGGTCACTCCCCGGCGGGGTACCAGTCACTGCCAGCTCTCAGTGTTTGCCTTGTGGTTAACGTTTAACCCGCGCCGCCGGTGAGACTTCCTCTGTGCACCGGGCGGCGAAGCAGAGGGCTTCCCTCTTCTGACACTCTTCCAGAGCTTTCACAAGAGGACCACTGTGCCCATAGCTTGGGGCGCCCGCGCACGTGTGTGACTTCTTTAGGGGTTTACCTTGACGTTTTTTTTAAAGCGAAATATCCCGATTGCTTCGTTTCAAAGGGATATGTTTATCCACTGAACCAAAGAAAGTTCTCTCTTCGTCAGCAAGCTCTCCGACAGCTGTCCGAGTCGGAGTTTGGTCGATCCCACTGATGCTGAAGAGAAAGAGGGGTGTCATGACTACGGAAAAGCATTGAAGACATTAAAACCCAGCCAGGACATTTCATCCTGGTGCGTATCTTTGGTGCACCAAGTTGTATCGTTCCAGATTTTCCTTTGGACTTTTATTTGGATCAAAACTTTGGTCACACAGTTTAACCGGACGGATGTCCTTCACTCATTTTGGCTTGTCCATGTGTGGATGAAGCAGAAGAGCATCTGATTGTCGAGAAAAGCTGTTAATCTGAAGATGATTTCACGTCTGCAGCATCTTGGAAAAAGCAGCAGAGACTGAGTGCTGTTTCTGCCAAACTCACTCACTGTTTTGGGTCACCAGGATTGGCTACAGGAGGAGAGTTTTTTTTATCATACTCTAGAAGCTTTTGAAAATGGTCAATTTCCCATCTGCGACATCAGCTGCTTCCGTTTCTTCACTTCTGTACCACAGTCGCCCCTGCTCTCGTCTGTACTGACGTTCTCAGTTAAGCCATCCTGTGCCACACAGCTGGACGGAAAAGCATCTTTCCCCAAAGGCAGACCACAGCAGTTGGGTAGGAGAGGAATCGTGCTGGGGCGAGAAGATTTTAATCGTGGAAAAGTTTCACAATGCGCCCTGGGGGTTCTGTTTGCCTAGTAACTGGATCACTGCTTTCTTAGTTAAAAATAAAAATAAAAACTGTAGTTAAAAAGCTACACGTTTCCAGGAACGTTCTATTTTTGAACATCACAGATTACGTCTTGTTTTGCTCTTTTGTTTAGCCCCATAAACTGTGGACTGACTTCAACAGTGGAATAGCGAGGGGCGATGGTGCTTATTTATTCCTACACAGAGAGTGGTAGCTGATTTGTTTGCTAATAATTCTTCTCAGATCTGCTGTAGCATCGTGTGTAAAAAAGGACTCTGCTATAACCCGAGTCTGCGTGTTTTCTGGCCGTTCTGGCAGTGTGAGCTATTCGTTGAGGAAGTCTGGTTGCGATTCAGGTCCAGCTGGCTTCACTCTGTTTCCCTAACGCTGCAGGGGCGTGCTGGTCACAGACTCAAGAAACAGCACGTGAGAGAGTGAAGTAAGAAAAACAGTACCTCCCAGCTTAGGGTCACTGTTACTATAGGGCATCAGTTATACAGAGAACTGTGACAGCTTTATATCTAAGTCATGTGCTTGAAATCGGCTGGGTTCAGTGGCTGGAGCATGGGGGTGAGATGGATTTGAAGAGTTCCAAGCTAAGGATCGATCACTTGGAATGTTAAAAGAAAACTATCAGAAGCTTCTCAGTGTGCGTCGTCCTTGCAGCCTACTGTACATGCTTGTGATGTGCTAGACTGACACAGACGTTCTCCTGGGTGCTGTAAATGACTTTGGCGATTTGAAAAATCAGAAACGACAGCTTCCGGGGGGGTTCCGGCGCCGCCTCGCTCAGCGTGACCCTCTGGCGGATCTGGTTCGGGCTGCGGGCGTGATAAAAGGCTGCCCCTTCCTCCGGTATGGAGGCTGTGCCGGACTCTGTCTCCGACTGGGAAGCACTGCTGGAGGCGGAGAAAGTCCAGATGGGCTGGTACTGCCAGAGCTTCACCCCGACTCCAGGGGAAGAGGACGGGCCCGATTGGGCCAACCAGGACACCCAGGGCTTGGAGGACATCCCCGCTGTAAGTGTGTGGCCACCACCCAGGCTGTGTTCTCCTGGGACCTCCCATTACTGCCACAGCGATGGCCGGCCTGGTGTGTTCCTGTTTGCACTGTGTGTTTCAATAGCGAGGTTCTGGATAAGCTTCTTGTACAGAGATGCAGTGTTGTTAGGGAAATCTCTGAGCAAGTATCCATCCATACTTATATCTTCAGTGAGATTAATATGTCCCACAGGTGTTCAGGCCTAACTACAGTAAGTGATTTCATGAGAGGTCACATGCTTGCATGATAGTGTTCTGTGTTTGAGATACAGTGCTACGTAGCAAGACGATTGTTAGGTGTTTTAAAGTGAGTAAGTGGTTCGCCCTGGTCCTCTATACTGTGTTGTTTTACTTTAAAGAAATAGACCATGATATGTAGATGAAAGAATGACCTTCTCCCGACTTTGAAAGAAAGAGAAAAATAGTTTTTGCACCGTTAATATATGCTGGAAGTTTGCAACAGCGAAAACAATACCTGTATTCACCTACAGTATGTAAGCAACTTTACAGATGCAAATAGGTGTGGAACATTTGTATCATGTTTGTTTTAAGAGTTTCTTTGAATTATACTCTTGTGAGAGGATTTGCAGACTGATGAACATTTGAAAAAATGCATAATCTCATTAGGAACTACTTTTAGTATAGGAACACAGATTTTAAAAAGCGTCTTTTAAGAAAAATGAAAACTTGTAACTGAAGGGGAGGTCTGTCTTTAGTTACTGCTTTGGCAAACATGGCTTCCTACAGCTGTTTTTCTTCAAAGACTGAGCAGCTGTTCAAAATGTTTTGAACATTAACAAATTCTCAGAAAAACTCACTTCCTTTTTTAAACAGGATTATGATGCGCAGTATGTCGAGGACAGGAAAGTCAAACCCTGAATAGCAAGAGAATAGCTAGGTCTTTCATGTGGAAGAATTCAGTGTTTCTGTTCAGGAGGTGTCAGGCGTCCACAAGCTCCGCTTAACCACAGAGATAAACTGGCAGTGTCCTATACCCACATCCTGTTCATTCCAATTATTTGAGCTGTGCAAGGAGATAAACCACATTACCTAGAATTAAAAAAAAAACATATATAGATATACATACATATAAAACAGATAAGCTAAGATACTTAATTACTTCATGACCACCATGGAGAAGGTGGTGATGCGAATGAACAATTATCCTTAATGAGATAAACGAAGATAAAGGAGATAGACATGGCAATTTGTTTTTAAAACTTTTATTATTACTGTAAAGAAACGGTTGCTTGAGTAGTTGGACATCTTGTCTTGGAAAGTCCTATATTGGTGTTAAAAAATAAGCTATTTAAAGTATACTGTATAGAGAGAGAATTAATAACCTGCTGGCTCACTCCCACTCTGGAGCTCCTGGGATCAGAGAGCACTCCAGGACCCACAGATTGTTTATAGTCGTCTGAGTTGAGCATTTCATTTTTCTTGCAAAACATTTTCTAGGACAAGAGTGAGGAGAGGCTCATTCCAGGAAATGTGTGTTAAAAGTTTGTTGGGCACAAGGTTTGTTTGTGTCTTGTTTATCGAGAGGGCCTGTCCCTGAGGGAGGGACACAGCCCGCGTCCTGCTGGAGTCCTTCAGTGTGTCAAAGGTGCCGAGTTAAACAAGCATGAGGAGGGTCGCCTGCAAACTTCACCCTCGGGAGCCAGGACTCGAATAGTATCCTAGGCACAGCCCTTCTCTTTTTGAGATACTGCGTAGATACAGTGACTAACCTCGGCAAGGCGTTCCCCAGGCTTCCACATGAATCCAAGAATTCATGAGTGGCTCTTGTGAGTGATCTAAAACCCCGATGAGCACCGGTAAGCACCGGCACATTCCCGTGCTTCCAGAAAAATCAGAAAGTGATCCCTGTAGGATTTCATTGTATGGTGCTGCAAGGAGAACTTTGTGAGTCTCTCACTGGTTTTTTTTTTCCCCCCCATTTTGTTTTGTGTGTTTTTATTTTTAGGTGTTGAGCCCCACATACAAACAGCGCAATGAAGATTTCAGGAAGCTCTTCAAGCAACTGCCCGATACTGAGCGGCTCATTGTGGGTGAGGAGCTGTTACACCCTGACAGGCTCAGGGGAGTTTTTGTCACGATTCGTGAGATTGTCGTTAAGTTGTATTGCCTGCAGTACTGTACTGTATATCCTGTGCACTGAGGAAGCACAAGCTTTAAACAAAAAGCTCTATGAATTTATGTGGTGAACCTTTCAGTCCTGTCATTACATACATAAATTTATAGGACCAAGTAAAGGTTTATTCTATGCTGAAAAGAGAAGAAAGTAAGCACAACGTTTCGACTATGGGGCCTTCTTCGGGTATTGACACCTGAAGAAGGCTCCACAGCCGAAATGTTGTGTTTCCTTTCTTCTATTTTCAGCATGGAATAAACCTGTACTTGTTCCTTTGCAGCCTGTGCATGCTGATGCAGCTGCCTACTTGAACTAAATGTATTTCTATTCTGTAAGCAGCTTTAGGGAGTTTCCTCCTCTTGGTTTATCTAAGCTTATTGTTTAATTTGGGTGCTGGCTGGGTTTGGGCTTTATTAGAGGGTGGACTAACAAGTCTTCGAACAGATCGCTCTCTCTCAAAGACTCAAACTGTAGAAGATTGATTGCCAGTACACAGAGACTGTGTGGAATGCAGTGAGTGCGTTCTACACTGCTGGAGTTGAGATAAGTCCATGTTGAGACATTAAGACATGTTAATGCATCATAACTCGTTAAACTCCATCTGTTTTTGAGATAAAAGCCATTTGAGCCCTGACTGCACCTGAATCGGGATTTTTTTAATTGGGCAGTTTGTGCACGTTCTGTGAGATCCGGCAGTCTGAGGTGGGAGAGAGCTGTCTGTTGTTCGGGTTAGACATCTGACCTGGCCTGGGGATTGACTAGTAACGACCTTTCACCTCTGCTGGCAGATTACTCGTGTGCCCTGCAAAGGGATATCCTCCTTCAGGGCCGGCTCTACCTCTCCGAAAACTGGATATGTTTCTATAGCAACATCTTCAGATGGGAAACACTGGTATGGATCCTGGTTTCTGGAACTTTCTCTTTCCTTTCCTGTGTTGTGTGGCGGTGTAGTCGCTCTAAAACTGTGGCTCTGGCTCCTTCAAGAGAACGCTCTGCAGCTTTGAAATCGCGAGCCTGTCGGAAACAGGAACTGCATTGCCAGGTTTTAAAAAGTGAGCATGATAAGGAAGTTCACTTATACAGGCCAAAGTGCATTGAAACACAGCGCAGGCTCTCCCCCTCATTCCAATTTGGTGTTCCTGAAGGTCCTTCCTTCAGGACACACACTATATCTGTGAGTCACAGTTTTAAAGAGCTGAATTCTGGGGGTCTCAGCACTTTCTTCCCCTCCCCCCCCCACTTCATTCCAAGGTGTTTTTCCAAACTCTTCCCACTGCGCTGCGGTGTGGGTAACAGTGCGCTGCTCTGCAGAGCAAACAATCGCTGTGGTGTCATGGGGCTAAAATAGCCCAGTTCAGTGAAGCTTCCTTCCCTGATCGCCAGCCTGGACACTCGGGGTCACAGCTGGAAATAACTCCCACGCCTGCACTTCCAGCCGCGTTTGAGTTCCGTTGAAGAGGCGGAATACCCGCTTCCTTCATATCGCCTTCTTCCATGCTGTAATCATCTCATTGTTGTTGTTGCACAATTGAAAGTCTCATCCGCACGTGCTCGAAATTGTTGTGTTTTTCTCATTCTATTAAAAACCGAGGCTGCGGTCCGGAGGTGCCAGGGCTGCTAGGTGGAGCCCTGTTCCCCTCACTGTCCCCTCTGCTCTCTTCCAACCCCCCCCCCCCCAGCTGACCGTCAGGCTGAAGGACATCTGCTCCATGACCAAGGAGAAGACCGCGCGCCTCATTCCCAATGCTATCCAGGTTTGCACTGACACTGAAAAGGTAGGCGCTCCCCTGCGGCGGCTGCTCTGGTTCTGTAGGGTCCGATCGCACAGAAACTCACTGGCGCCTGCAATCCACACGCCTCGAAACACGCAACACGCAAAAACAACTGGGAAAACACGTACTGTCTATACAAGCACACCTGAAGAGTCACTTACCTTTAGTGCAAAACATAATGTTCCTCATTATTATGCAGCTTCTTGAGTGTATTCATGTAGCATGCACACTCGTAGGGGTTCAGCCCTCAACAGCGTGCACAGCTGCCTTGGCAGGCCTGTGCTGTGTTAACACACCCAGCGATCGCCGATTTACCATTTCCAGGCCTGCTCGGCTGCACATGCCCTCACTGCTTGCTTGAATGCAGACCACATTCTCTTCTTCCTCATATCCGCGCCTTGCCTCGGCTCTTCCACAGCACTTTTTTACCTCGTTTGGAGCCCGGGACCGAACATACATGATGATGTTCCGGCTGTGGCAGAACGCGCTGCTCGACAAGGTAAGCGCCCCCCGCTGGTAACAGCTGAGAACTGTCTTTGGCGAGCGGCCTCAGTGGCTGCTGGTAAAACCCGCATAGCCCCCTCAAGAAACATGAATGTCCTTGAAGTGGAATCTCCAGAGGACAGAACTGCATCTTTTTCTGAAAAGGTCTGTGTTTCCTTTTGTTTCTGCAGGGAAGTAGAAAATTACATCCTCCTGTCAGAACTGTCAGTCAGTTCAGTTGAACAGTTTTCAGCAGGTTTACAGCGTCAGTACAATGAGGTAGAAATGAACTCAGTCTCGATCTTGACATTTTCTGGGGAGTAGTTATTATAATAATAATTATTATTGTTATTATTTCCACCAAGGCCATGCATGATGTTGTAGGGTTTGCCCACCAAATACATTACAGGTCCTCCGAGAAATTAAGTTGTAAAAGGGACACCATTTAGATGAGACTGACAACACTGTCACATTCCAAGAGTACAGTTAATATGTTATATGTTTCAAGGTATTTTGGAATTATCAGTATTGAAGGGTGGCAGCATAGTATCGCCTCAGGATGCACAAGGATTCCTTGTAGAGCAGCAGGTGAACTTGTGTGTCCTACTCTCTGCCCTGCAGCCTCTCTGTCCGAAGGAGCTGTGGCACTTTGTGCACCAGTGTTACGGGAACGAGCTGGGCCTGACCAGCGATGACGAAGACTACGTGCCACCAGACGATGACTTCAACACCATGGGGTGAGTACTGATCACGCACTGGTGCAGCTATTGTTCCTTTGCCATCTGGCCCCTGGACCGAGAAGTGACATTCACACCATACGCCTGACCAGTTTTACATGTAGTAATAATAATTGCTTACACTTATATAGTGCTTTTCTAGACTCTCCACTCAAAGCTCTTTACAGGTAATGGGGACTCCCCTCCACCACCACCAGTGTGCAGCCCCACCTGGATGATGCACCGGTACTCTCACCACACACCAGCTCTCAGTGGGGAGGAGAGCAGAGTGATGAAGCCAATCATTAAAAGGATTAAGATTATTAGATTAGTAGGAGGCAATGATTGATAAAGGCCAATGGAAAATATGGCCAGAACACCGACGTAACACTCCTACTCTTTTCAAGAGACACCCAGGGATTTTTAATGACCGTGGAGAATCAGGACCTCGTTTTTATGTCTCATCCGAAGGACAGCGCCTTTTTACAGTATAGTGTCCCCGTTGCTATACTGGGGCATTAGGACTCACACAGATCATAGAGTTAGCGCCTGCTACTGGCCCCTCTAACACCTCTTCCAGCAGCAACCTTAGCTTTCCCAGGGGTCTCCCATCCAGGTACTGGCCAGGCTCACACCTGCTGAGCTTCAGTGGGTTGTCAGTTGTGAGCTGTAGGGTGATGTAATTGGTGTGGTTCAGTGCCTACAGTAGACCAGATCCACACAAGCTAATTGGAAGGTAAGGCTCTGGGAAGTTCTGTTCTTAGATCTTCAGGAGGTGCGTCTTCTGCACTCATTAAGAAATTATATACAAGATCCATCTTTTTTTCCTCGACTTGAGACCCTGGAGCGCAGTTCATTGGCACAAGATAGAGCCTGCCACTCTTAATACACTAGGTCACAAGATAGTCATACATTTCCAAACTCCCATTTCCATAGTTTTTCTAAATCGCTGTTTCCCAATCGTGGTCACACCTGCTGGTTTTAGTTCCAGCCAAACCACAAAAGTTCCACAATCAAACCTAATAATAAAAATAATAAATTTGATCCCAGTTCTTAAACTGTTTTAACAGCAGCATTTTGTAAGTGAAATACAACCCAAAACTTGTAACTTGTGACAAAAGACAAATGTTAAATTGAAGCAGCTCCTTGGATCAATGAAGGCTTTGATTACCTGATTAAGGTGGGAAGGAATGAAATCCAGCAGGTGTGTGGGTCACGAGGACCAGGGTGGAGGACCACTGCTTTAAATGATGTCAGCGGAAGAAAAAGTCAATGTTAATGGTATCTATCAACTATACTGTACAGTGTGTATTAATATTGCCAGCGGGGTTATCACTGAGGGGCAGTCCACTGCAGTATGTCCGTGCTGCCAGCTCCTGACCGGCTGAGCCGATATCACACTTGTGCTACTGGGGGGCAGGGAGGGCCGCAGGCTTGACCTTTGCCCCTGGGCCCCTTGTGTGAAGGCAGGATGGCCGGGGGCTCCTGGCCGCCACCCTCCTGGGTGGGCCGGTGCCTTCCTCGGAGCTGGTAACCTTGACATACAGCTGTTGCCCCTCCCCGTGGTGCAGGTACTGCGAGGAGATCCCGGCCGAGGAGACCGAGGGCAACGACAGCTCCTCCAAGAGCAGCATGGAGGTCAAGCCGGAGGTCAAGCCGGAGGCCAGCCCGCTGCTCCCCAAGAAGTCGGTGACCAACAGCACGCTGACCTCCACGGGTAGCAGCGAGGCCCCCCCCTCGGTGAGGACCACGCCACGCCAGGGGGCAGCACTGGTTTGGCTGCAGACGCTTCCTCTGTCTCCCTGTGTTTCATAGGAAACAGAGGGGCCACCTGTTTCACCTCTAATAATCAGGGTGCAACATGGAAAAGGCATGGGAGCATACCACCTGCTTTTATTCTGTTAGATTCAGCATGGGAGAGCAGTCGTCCCTGGAGATGTAATTGTGTTGACTTGTACTGAATTCAAGGTACTGAAACTCATTGCATTTCTCAGTTATAATGTTTGTTATTGCCTTAGTGTTGACGCAGTGTAAATGTGAGGTTAGCAGTAAGGTTATAGAGCTCAGTTTTTGGGCAGGAATACCAGACGCTGAAATTCGTTTGGCGTGCATGTTAGAGATTTTGAC